TGTCTTTTGGCGTGGATGTCGCCGCGATCCAAGAGGCCCACTTTGTTTGCAACGTCGATGCGTGTGTACTAGATAACGACTTTGCTGTTTATTCAGCATATGGGGGCCGACAGGCCAGTGGAGTTTCTTTTGCTGCTGAGGCGTGCTCTTTATGCGAAGGTGGACTTTGTGCATACCGATTCCGAAGTCCGTGGTCGATATTGCCGTGAAAAGTGGTTAGTTCCGGGTCGTTGCGGCTTATGCGCCCAACGACAAGGAGGTACGGTCTTGTTTTTTCGACGGTTGGGGCCATTTCTGGTGGATTCAACGCGCCTAGAGTGAATGGGGGACAGAAATGCCATCCTGGACCCCAAGTTAGACAGAGGGTGGGGAGCGAGTGGAAGTAGCCTGGTTGATCTGATCAACGAATTTGGCTTCGTTGATAGATACAGGGTCGATCACCTCGGGGGAAAAATGAGGACGTGGGCTCTTAATTGGCCTTTTACACAAGTAATTAGCTACCTGGATAGAATGTTAGTTAAAGGAGCCGACGTAGACTTGTAGATTGTCCTACGCTCTACTGGGTAGACTATTCGGGTCACAAACTCGTTTGTGTCCGGATGGCGTTAGATCATAGGCCTAGAATGGCTGGCTACTGGAAGTTCAATCTGTTCATACTAGACAGGCGGGACTTCCAGGAGCAGCTAATTAGCTTAGTGCAGCGGGAGCTAGTGGGGGCGGATATCGGGAATAAATGGTGGGGGAAACTTAAGGATAGGATAGGATTAGGTCCTTCACCACTGATTTCAGCAAACGGCTCGCCCTAAATAGAGCTGAGAAGGTGAAGACGCTTAAGGCTAGTCGGTGGATAAGGGGGATCTAGAGATAGCTGTAGCTATCGAGCGCTACATGGGCCATGTAATTAGATATAGGTTGAGCAAGATGTCTTCCGAAGCTGTAAATGTGGTTGCAGATTTGCGCAAGGAAGAGATCCGTCGAGGTTCCGATCGTTACATTCGTGAGGTCAATTCCCCGGAGGGAAGCATACTCTTCAAGCCACTGACGACATGTATGAGGCGTTTCGGCGGCATTTCGAGAGCCGATTTACCAAGGAACCTGGTCTCCGTGAGGAGGAGTTTCGAAGCTATTTGGCTGACTTTCCTCGGCTTTCGCCGACTGAAGTGTCTAGCTGCGAGGGAGAGATCACGGAGGGTGAAGTCTATGCGGCATTGAAGAAGGTCGGCAGAGTCAAGTCGCCCGGTCTGGATGGTTTGCCCTATGAATTGTACTTGAGGTTTTCGGTCATCTTTGTCCCGATGTTGACTGTGGTGTTCAACAACTGTTTCCGGCAGAGGTCGATCCCCAACCGGTTCACCAGAGGTGTGATCACGCTGTTGAAAAAGAGCAAGGGTGTTCGGCGGGATTTTGATGATTATAGGCCTATAACTCTGCTAAACACAGAGTTAAATTTTGGTTAAGATCCTACAGGAAGGTTTGCAGTCAGTTGCCGAGTCTCTGCTGGGTCTGTGAGGGACCGAACAATTCAGAGCAACCTGCATCTGATCCGCACGATCATAGAGGGTGTAAAAAAGACGATGAGGCCGCGCTGATCAATTTAGATCAGTCCAAGGCATTTGATAGGATTGACCATCACTACCTTGCGGCTGTCCTGCAGGTCGCCTGATTCGGTTTGTTTGGTATGCGTGGATATAATTGGCGCACATGATTTAATAGAAGCAGCGTTGTGGCGAAGTTGAGCAGAATTTCTACCCAGTGTCGAATGCATGTTTGAAAGAATTTGCTATTATTGACGATAGAATGTCGTTCTCGCAAATTCTTAGGTCATTCGAGTTGCATCATTTCAGGATCAGATAAAAGACGGTGAGTCGCCTTTTGTTTGAGATGTGGTTCACACTTTATCTATTTCAGTCCAGAAGAGTTGAATTTAGTTAAAAATGGCGTTGCGTTTTCCGTTTGGTAAACCGGGTGAAATTAGGTCAAACGTAACCGAGTGAAAGAAAAGGTCAAACAAATATAGACCAGTGTGTGTGTGGGGGGGGTAGAGTGTGGTAGTAGTAATTGTAGCCATTCCAGTGGCGAATAAGGCTTCCCACTTGTTATAGTAAAATCAGTTTATTTTGCTGCGCCGGAGAAATTGTGTTTTGTGTAGACGTAGTGAATTAAAAATTGTGATTTTTATACTTTCATCAGTTTAATCACAAATTTTTGTTGCTGTATAAAAGTTCTTCCGTGACAAATCTTTTTACAAGACATACTTGAAACCAGCTGACAAGGTACAAAAAAGAAATTATGGAATGAATCGTTATTTTACAAGTCTACAATCCAAAAATTCTTTAATTCTACAACTTGCAGATATATAATTAATAGAAACTGTATATTTAATAGATATATGCTTTTTTTTCATATTTTTTTTAAGTTTGAAGGATTTTCTTGTCTGATTGCATCCTTGAAATAAACCATTCGTCCTTGTATAGAATATTGTTGCCCCCTAATGTTCATCTGAAGGTCCTCAACAAAATCCAGAGACGGATATGCAATGTGATAGGTCCTGATCTTTTCTCATGCTTTTTTTAAAAATATTTTTTAAGTTGACTTGAAAGAAAAGGTAAAATTGTTTGTCGACCTTAGTTTCTCAAGAGTTTTTACACAAGAGAATGTGCCCTTATGCTAGGCTCGAACCTATGTCTCCCTTGAGTAGTGTGCTTTTAAACAGCTCAGCCATAGAGAAATATTATAATGAAGCAAGGTTCAATTACGCTTATGAAGGAAAGCCCATCTAAGATTATTTTTTAAAATGATAACTTTATTTTTGAAACTGAAATGTAAGAAAGTAATTACTAAGGAATTGATGCATGTGTTTGTGTATATAATTTAGTCAAACTAATAAAGGTTTATAAATTGACTTATCGACTGACTTTAAAGTTTCATCCTCACGCCATTCATCGGGGTCAGATAAACCTATTGAATTATTACCAGATATAAATTAATTCAGATTATTTCTGCTTCAAATTAAAATTTAGCATCTTTTCATTTGTGCCCCCTTACTTCTTAAAATAACAATTAGCATTTGTCTTATTATAATTCTGCTTTCCACCCCCACCCAATCAAGCAGCCTCTTTCTACAAACCACTATTTTGTGGAACCAACTCCCAAGAGAATACTTCCCTGATCATTATAATCTTAACCTGTTGAAGTCTAGTGTTAACTATTATCTTTCCCATATATCCACATTGGCTAATCGATCTTTGCTTGGGATGACATGAAAAAAAGAAAAAGAAAAGAAACAATTATGGTACATAAAATCAAGTAAATAATAAGCTCATTCAAAAATTATGGCTAAGAGGTTTTTTATGTTTGATGTCGAGCGTTAAAAAGTTAGAAGCACAGTTTCTGTGGATATGTGGGAAAGATAATAGTTAACACTAGACTTCAACAGGTTAAGATTGTAGTGATCAGGGAAGTATCCTCTTGGGAGTTGGTTCCACAGAATGCTAACAAAGAGGCGATTGTCTACGTCGGTGTTGTCCCTCACCAAATATCCCAATGTGTGGCGCCATACCTTCTTCAAAGGGTCTTCTCTTTCATTGAGGTAGAGGCGCCATTTTCTCTCCAGTTCAGACGCCATCACATCCATATTTTCGCACAGCTCTCCCAACTTGAGCTGTGTCTCTTCCACGAAGGCCTCAAAATACTCCTATTGGAGCATTCTGTATCACAATCCGTTGACAGTTGTTCAATGGATCGCCTCGTTCGACGCCCGGATGTTAATTTAGAACTGGCGGAGTTCCCGCTCCAGGGTAGGGCCTCCCTCCTCTTTCCCCTTCGACGCCTTCTCCCTCACCGACAACTGACCAGGCGGGCACTGAAGGGAGGCGGTCACGTGATCCTTGTGACATGCGACAGAGAGGCACACGTTGCACAGGTCGCAGAAGGCGTCTTTGGATTGGCGATGCCGTCGACAGTTGTCCATCGTGATGATCCGGATAGCTTCCACCCTATGCAATCTTTGGTCTCGTGTCTGGGGTGGAATTCCTCGATTCTATGCCGTCTTCGAAACACGTATCACAATTCATTTCGCTGGATTCCAGCTGACGGCGCCTCAAAGACTTTACCAAAAATGGGGCCAGTCTCAAATCGTCACCGGTCGGAGGTTGTTGGCACTGGGGACACAGGCCATTTCCTTCAAAAATTATCTTCGCGCACGACCCACAGAAAGAATGAAGATATGGCAACGTCTTCGATGCCAAATCCCAAACTTCGATGCATTTCGAACATTGGAATGTCTCTCCTTCACTCATGTTGAACATTTGGAAAATTTCTTCAGAAAATAAAAATCAAATCTGAAAAGAAAAAAAAAGTCAAAGTTCAAAATCAGCTAAAAAAAAAAGAAAAAGAAAAAAAAAGTCGATTTATAAAACCGGAAGTAAAATGACCCGAAATTTCGAGATTTTACAAGAAAAAGAAATCGATTTCCAGAAAGAATATTGTTTTCTTCTAAAATCCCAAATAAATGAAGGGGATGAGAAGATTAGGGTGTTGGGCGAATGAAATAGTGAGAGAGTGGGGATCGGAGAGAGTGGTTATCAATGAAGAAAGAGAGATGGAGAGAGAAGAGAAATTCGAGAAAGGAAAGAAAGGGTAAAAGAAACAGAGGGAGAGGGGGTTCCAATTTGCCGCTTTCACAGTCACATTTAACATTCTCTTGTCATCAATTGTAATATTTTAAAATTTTAATATTTCTTCCAATTATTTTTTTAAATTTCTTTGAAATAGTCACGTACAAGATGAGTTTACTTTATACTACTTACTAAGTTTATATTTTTATCGTCTTCGCTAATCCACTATGGCACAAGGCCCATAGATGCAAGTAAATTAAGCACTACTTAAATAAAGTGGTCCACACATAAAAACCGAAAAAGAAACTACTTTCAACTGAGTGAAAATTTTTTTTCTTTTGTTAAAATAACAATTTGAACAATTAGAAAAAAAATAAACTAATTCTATGAATAGAGAAAAATGGTTTTCCTCTCAATATGAATAAGATAGAGATAGATAGATAGATAGATAGATATGAAAAGGACTGAGATAGATAGATAGATAGATAGATAGATACTATTTATTATTGCAAAATACAATAATTGTGGCACGTGGCCTCAAAGTGGGGGTTGGGTTTGAGGTTGGTCATCCTTACCTATCCTATACCTAGCTAACCGGATTCATGACCCATTCATTCAATACAAATAACCCATTCACCAAAAGAATTCACCTTTTACTCCGACATATACCACAATACCACATTCACAAAGGGAATCTAAAAAATAAACCCCATGATTTAAAATTTCTTAAGTACAAATATTCATAATATATATATATATATTTGGTTGGATTGATGTGAGTTTGCAACCCTGGGTTTCACGCTTTTGCGATCGTCAGACAAACAGATATTTCAATGCCAAGTCCAAAAATCGGTCGCATTTCGAACATTGGAATGTCTCTTCTTAAATATAAAACAGAAACTAACAGAAATTAATTAATGTTCGTAGGATCCGTTCACCCAACAAAAAATCAGAGTTGCCGCTGTATTCTGTCATCAGACAGAATAAAGAGACTAACTCTCTAACGGAATGGGGGGGGAATGAATGTAGAGCGTGGGGAAATCAGAAATTGAACCAGTCGAGATGAAAAGAGGGGCCAAAACAAACTGGGGAGGTTTGGAATCTCAACTTGGCTCATAACAGAAATTAGGAGCCGGGAACAAGCTCACTCACATTAACTAGGTAACGAAAGAGAGTCTACGTTAACCAGGGGAGGGTTTGCAGGAAACTGCCCCGTTGTGACGAAGAGGACTTAAAAAAGAAACTCATGGATAGCCTCTTTCACACGAACCAAGCTCGCTACTTTTACCCACCTTTCGTTGAAAACTGTCGACACCAAACGCTTTCTGTCAGTTCTGATCTTCCCTTTCAGATGATGCTGAAAGTATCTGATCAGAACCTGATGAGAATAGAATTCTTGTTGCAAGATCCCTTCCTTTTGCGTGTCATCTAGATCACCATTCTTGCCACGGATAGCAACGTTAGAAACAGCATTCGTTTCACCTCAGAATACGGGGGCGACAAATTCTCGAACGTCTATGCGAGATCGACGAGCACAAGTTGGTTGGGTGCGATACGAGCCGACATAGTCTCAGAAACGTCGTACCTGAGGACAAAGGTAGAAGACGTGCAAAGCCGTTTTTCCATATCAAGATTACATCGGGAACAGTCGGTCAAACCTCCCAGTCCCATCTGAAGGTCATGTCATTGAGAGAGTTAGCACGTTCTAAATCAATCGCCAGGTAAGCGAAAACTCAGGGTTACTGAGGTAATTCGCCGCTAGCACCCAAGACCAGAAAGAGCGCGTCTCGTCTAGCGACAAGCTGAGCCGCTCAGAGGCAGTCCTTCTCAACCCCCTCCACTAATTCACGATACAAGACCTTTCGAGGCCATGAAAGGTCACTGGACCGAGGAAATGCCTTCAAGGCCGCTCGACACTCGTTGAGGAAAGTCGACAATTTCCCGGACCTACAACGGCGCTTAGCCCAGGGAGGAGTGATAGTAAGGCTAGGGAAGGCGTCCCTAACACTCCCCACCAAAATCGAATCCTCTGTCAAAACGCGGCGTAGGAAAGCCAATCGCGAGGCGTGTCGATGATTCACCAAGTGCGGCAATCCCAGGCGTCATGACACAGACGTTGTACGCAAGTTTCTGTACGGACCTTCTGCTTGCACCCACCCACAATGGTCCTTGCAAAGAGGAAGTACAGCCAAGCGGTAAAGGATGAGAGGAAAGACGTAAGTGGCACACGCCTCAGCTCTACCCTTCAAGGACAACCTCCTTCGGAGCCAAGTCCAGACCGACGCTACGGCCTTTGCCTGTACTTCTGACCAATTTTTCTCCAGCTGGAGGTCGGGTCCAAACCACACTCCGAGAATGCGGAAAGGACCTTCCGTCCAACTGAAGGGCCCCGGACGAGAGACCCCCTTCCAGACACCTAACCGCAAGCCGGAAGACTTGTTACGGTTAATCTTGGCCCCTGTGACCTTTTCGTACCGTTCAAGCGCCTTCTGTACCACCTCAATGTCCCTTCTGCACGACACGAAAATGGATACGTCATCAGCGTACGCGGAAACCCTGGCGCGAAACCCACCAGGGAGAGCGATTCTACGTAGGGCCGGACTGCACGTTCTGTCCCTCAGCCGGCGAAGGAGAGGCTCCAACGCCAAAGCGTAAAGTAGGAGCGACAGTGGGCAACCCTGACAAGCCAACCGAGACAGTGCAAAAGCGCGCAACCGCTTTCCGTTCACCTGTACCACAGCACGGGGGGGGGGGGCGATACAGGAGGCAAATCCATTTGCAGTAGTCGGGTTGGAATCCGGCGGTGCGCAGGACAGTAGCTATATATCGATGGTCAACCTTATCAAATGCCTTGGGCTGATCCAAATTGATCAGCGCGGCTTGCTCGTCGTCTTTTACAACCTATAGGAACGTGCGGATCAGATGCAGATTGCTCTGAATTGTTTGGCCCTTCACAGCACAAGTCTGATCGGGTTCCAACAGAGTCTCTATAACTAACTGCAAACGCTCCGTCAGGATCTTGGCCAAAATCCTTCTCTGTATTCAGCAGAGTTATGGGCCTGTAATTGTCAAAATCCCGCCCACCATCCTTGCCCTGTTTCAACATCGTGATCATACCTTTGGTGATCCGACTGGGGATGGAGCCCCTGCCGGAACCAGTTGTCGAACATGACAGTCAAAATCGGCACAAAGATGTTCGTCAGCCTCAAGTACTAACCCTAGCCATCAAGTCCCGGAGACTTGTCACTGCCGGCCCTATTTAATGCCGAGTAGATTTCGCCCTCCTTGATCTCACCCTCGCAGCTAGCTGTTTCCGTCGGCGAAAACCGAGGAAAGTCAGCCGAATACCTGCGAAACTCATCGCCACTGAGACCAAGCTCCTTGGTAATCCGCCTCTCGAAATGCCGCCGAAAAGCCTCGCACATGTCATCAGTTGACCTCAGAGTACGCCCTTCCGTAGTTTTAACTTCACGAATGTAACGATCGGAACCTCGACAGTTCTCTTCCTTGCGCAATTTTGTGCCCATGTTCACGGCTTCGTTAGACATCTTTTTTAACCTGTTTCTAACTACCTGACCCTGGTAGCGCTCGCTAGCCGAGCGCTCCACGGCCTGCTTGAGATAAATCTATCTCTAAGGAGTCCCCACCAAGCCTCCGCCCGGGACAGATCTTTAATTGTCTTCACCTTTTTAGCCTTATGTAGTGCGAGCCGCTGGCTATATTCGGTGGTGAGGGACCTAATCCTACCCTTAAGCGTCTCCCACTACTTATTCCCAATATCCGCCCCCACTAGTTCCCACTGCACTAGTCTAGTTGTTGCTGGAAGTCCCGCCTGTCCAGTAAGGACTGATTGAACGTCCAGTGTCCAGTCATTCTAGGCCTAGAATCTAACGCTATCCGAGCACAGACGAGTCTATGGTCCGAATAGCCTAACCAGTGGAACGTTGGACAATCTAGCAGGTCTACATCGGCCCTTCTCACTATCATTCTATCCAGGTAGCTGCCTACCTGGGTAGACGGCCATTTACGAGTCCACGTCCATCTTTAACAAGGGCTTCAACAAAGCTCTGTTTTTGCTTCGACATGCCCGCTTCTATTGACTGCTTGTCCACAGAGCAAGACATTACCACACTCGGGAATTTCTTCTTACGAGGAGAACTCTGCTGGGAGGTGGTGGGTTTTGGGGATTTACTAGGCATTGTGCTGGTGGAAAGTGGGGTGTTCAGGAGTAGAAATGTCATCGGCTGGGAGGGGGTTGATGAGGAAGTGTATTGCGAATAGGGGACAATGGAGCTTTCAGAGGGGAAGGAGGAAGGCTTCTTGTAGTACTTTCTTTAGGCTTCTTGACTGGCGAAGCCGGGGCTGATTGAGCCTTGGTTTTGGCAGAGCCTTTGTTGGTTTCAGCTCGCTTGTTTTTTTTCTTTATTTTTTCCCCCCTTTTCTTCTTCCGTTTCCTCTCTCCCTCTTTTCAGTGAAGACGACCGAGAGTGAGGGGGCATCTCCTGCATTTCTACTTCCCTTACTGGTCCTCTTGCTCTGATTGGTGACTCTCATTCTGCTACTGAAGGGAAGTGGTTGTACTTTTGGGTCCCTTCTTGACGACTTCCGTCCACTCTCCCGTTTTTTTTGGTTGTCGGTGCTGTTGCCTCTGATGTTGTCTGTGATGTTATTGCTTCATTTTTCTTTTTGGGTTGTGGGGCAGGATTTTGTCCCGGGCAAGCCTTGGACAAATGCCCCGCAGCCACACGAGCCCAACAAAGTGGTCGATGACCCCGCCCCACAACGATATAGATAAGTATTTCCGTAAATTGCTTTCGATTTAATGTAATTGAGATTTCAATATCGCCTGTGGTAATTCGGGACTTACTTTTAATACGTAGGCATCGGAGACGTCCCCATATTTAGAAAAGAAAAAACCTAGATGGTCTTCAAATATGAAGAGTGGCATCCTATGTAGAGTCACCAATGCCTTTCTTGTCCCCATGTATTCAGCCTGAAGCCTGACTGTCGAAGTAGTTAGAATACAGCCTTCCTTCGATTTGGCTTTCTCTTCTGTCGGCAATAAGATGTCCCACATTGGCTTACTTCTTCTTGCTAGAATTTGAAGACTTTTCAGGGCCGCCTCCATCACTTCCCTTCACGATATTTAGCTCCCGGTTCTTGGGGCCTGTTTTTACTAGCAAGATTGACCTTGTATTCACCGTGTTCAATACAGACGCAACCGGTAATAACTCATTTCCTTTAATATATGGATCAAACTTCTCTTTTAAATTTTTGAAATATTTTGTCCCTTTTTTTGAGGGCCTATCCCTTGCCCATGCCGAAGGAGTTACTTCTGTAGAGGGGGCAGGAAGAGATTCGGGCTCCAACAGGATGATAACGTACCTTTGTCTCTCCAACACAATTCGAAACAGTACACGACGAAGAAAGACAGCAATGGATACACAAGATGATGATGGGAGGCAAACAAAAATTACACTTACTCCGAAGAATATCCAACGAAAATGACTTGTACAGCTCGCGGTAAACTTGGTAAGACAAAAAAAGACAGACAGATAGATTTAATGAAACAATAAGGGAGAGGAAGAAGAAAGAGAAAGGCTGGTTGTATGAAAGAGAGAGAGAGAGAAAGAGAAAGAGAGAGAGAAGGTGGATATTTTCTCCTTTTCATGTAAATAGAAAGAGAATCTGATTGAGAGCTAAAGAGATCGTCCGATAGATAGGTTTCATGAGATAATAAGGGAGGGAATGTATTGAAGGGTAGGAAGGGAGAAAGAAGAGAGAAGGAATGGACGTAATGAGAGAGAGAGAGAGAGAGGGGGGAGTGTGGATATTTTCTCCTTTTCATTCAAATAGAAAGAGAATCTGACTGAGAGCTAAAAAGATCGACCGATAGGTTTCATGAGATAATAAGGGAGGGAATGTATTGAAGGGTAGGAAGGGAGAAAGAAGAGAGAGAAGGAATGGACGTTATGAAAGAGAGAGAGAGAGAGGGGGGTGGATATTTTCTCCTTTTCATGTAAATGGAAAGAGAATCTGACTGAGAGCTAAAAAGATCGTCCGATAGATAGGTTTCATGAGATAATAAGGGAGGGAATGTATTGAAGGGTAGGAAGGGAGAAAGAAGAGAGAGAAGGAAAGGACGTTATGAAAGAGAGAGAGAGAGAGAGGGAGGGTGGATATTTTCTCCTTTTCATGTAAATAGAAAGAGAATCTGACTGAGAGCTAAAAAGATCGTCCGATAGATAGGTTTCATAAGCTAATAAGGTAGGGAATGTATTGAAGGGTAGGAAGGGAGAAAGAAGAGAGAAGGAAAGGACGTTATGAAAGAGAGAGAGAGAGAGAGAGATGCGGGGGTGGAAATGGTTATTACCTTTTTGTTGTGGTTTGCAATTCAAAGCTAAAGAGTTTCGTTTACTCTGCTATTTTAGTGATGCAGGTGTGGCACCCTGCATTATTAGAAAAACTAAAAAAAAAAAAGAAATATTCATAGAAATATGGTTTAATTTTTTTATTCGGTTTATTAACCAGTTGTTTGTTTTTTAGACGAAGAATAATTGAGTTTCGAGAATAATTCTCTAATTGTACTTAGGCGATCCTAAGGGAAAAAAAAAAAAAAAAGAAGGGAAAAAAGAAAAAGAGAAAGAGGGAAAAGAAAGGGAGAGGATGAGTAATGCAAAAGGCCGGTCATTAGCGAAAACAGGTGTCAAGAGGTGTCTAGGCCAACGCGCCTGACCGAATTTCAAAGGACAATGGAAATTGTTATTTGGGAGAATAGAATTAAAGGTAATTAAAAGAAAGAAAGAAAACAGACTTGGTAAAAGTGTATGAACATATGTACGATTGATAAAAATGTCGGTCAAAGCATCTGGCTTACTTTTGTGTAGAAGACTCATTATCAATTTGGAGAAATGGGATTTTTTAGAAAAATGAAAACGAAATATTAATCAGAGAAGGGTGTCTTTTGGGATGAGAAGGTGACCGCTGGAATTGTATACAGATTCTGACCTGTTAAAAATTAGAACCCCCACGATGATGAAGTGAAGACATTTTCAATTCAGATAATTAAGATTTTTGACTATCAGGTCTGAGCAAAAACAAAGAGGTGAAAACAATTGTTCTTGGCTCACAGAAAGCGCCAGCGAGATGGAAAAAATTCTTCCTGAAGTCACATCTAATTAGCGGCGGGCTGTTTTGACAGAAACCAGAAAGGTGAGAAAGGCCGAGATTGTCATTTTTCGTGCGTACGAAAAAGGCCAAATTAGATTTTGTTTTTTTTTAGCAAGGTGTTCTTTCCCAGAACAACGACGGGATAAGCCACGCCCGATTGGAGACGTCACGAAGTACGGGAGACGCCAAACCAGAATCTCATTGACCGAAAGCGGTCACGTGATATGCGAGAAAGAGGAGAAAGGACGCTCGATCAAGACCCATTGGTCGAAAACGGTCACCTGACATAATGGTAAATCAGAAATAATGCGACTTTTGGAATTATCGAGAAAACCCTGACGCCGACAGACCCACCCCAGTTTGTTGCGGCGTCAATAAAAGCAGAACCCCAATCGACAGAAATGAGTTCAGCCCCGGACGGCAGCGAGAAGGGTCCACCTCAGACGGCAGAGAGAAGAGTTGCAGGCCAGACAGGCAGTAAAGTTGCAGGCCAAACAAGCAGATCAGTTCAGCCCCGGACGGCAGCGAGAAGAGATCACCTCAGACGGCAGAGAGAAGAGTTGCAGGCCAGACAGGCAGTAAAGTTGCAGGCCAGACAGGCAGTAAAGTTGCAGGCCAAACAAGCAGATCAGTTCAGCCCCGGACGGCAGCGAGAAGAGATCACCTCAGACGGCAGAGAGAAGAGTTGCAAGACGGAAGAAGAAGAAGTTACTTGCAGTTATGCATAGAAGAAGTTGAAATCAAACCAAGCCCAAGAACAGAAATTCGTCCAAACCAAATCGAAGTAAAGAAATACGTCCAACTCAAGCCGAAGAGAAGAATCAGCCGTGAACGACTGGGAGAAATTAGCGCCCAGTGTCAAAACTAAACCACACTCCGACATACAAAATTCTAGAGAGTAGGCAACTCGAAGTCTTTAAGTTGTATGATAGAAGCTTGGTGCCACAGTCCACAAAGCGGGTCGGGAAGTAAGAATAATTTTTATGTAACGAACATTAGATATAAAAGGTTGTTACCCTTTTTTATCAGTAATTTTTGGTCTCGTGAGTTTTTTCTTTTACTTGTGTTTTGCCACCCCCTGTCGAACTCAACTTGCATACGGCCCCAATCCCTGTTTGATCCCGTCTGTCTAAGATCTAATCATCACGGTTCTCCACGACAACCACAAAAAAAAAAGAAAAACACATTTCTTGTTTTGATGCGTGAAAGAGAAACAAAGAAAAGAAAGAAAAAAAAATAAGAAAAAAAGAATAGGGAAAAGAAGTAGAGAAAGAAGGAAAATAAGAAGATGAAAAGAGAGAAAAAAAGAAAAAGAAGAGAAAAAAAAAAGAAAGAGAAAAGAAGAAACTTAGAAAAAGAAAGAAAAAACAAAGACGAAAAAAAAGCAATTTATTACCTGAACTCATATTGTTATCCGACGACAAATTCAACTTTTAAGTGTAACAAAAATTAATTTATTTGCATAAATTAAAAACAAAAGTCTATCAATAATTATCGATTTATTTGCTGTTTTTTATTGCCATTTCCAAATGAAATTTCATTTCCTTTCCACATCTTTTGTCAACCATTGAATTGAAGAAAAATTTCAAAAAAAGATTTTTTTAAAAATTAAATTTTATTTGCAAACAAAAAAATGAACTTTTCTGTTTTAAATAATTTTGAAAATTTTCAATAAATATTTTCCATCTTTTTTGAAAGAAACAAACAATTTTTGGTCGGAAACAAAAATCTTCGGAAATTCTTCAGATTTTTTTGGAAATTTATACAAATTTTTTTCTGGTAAAAGAGAAAAAATTGCTTCTTTGGTCGAAAAATAAAAATTTCCAAATTTATTTGAACAAAAACTGAAAAATTCTTCTTTGATTTTCAATTTTTGAAGAATTTCTCCATTTTCATTCTAGACCAAAATTTCCGACTCTCTCCCGTTTGCACCCCACAAATTCCCAGTCATCGGATCGGCACGAAGGCGGGGAGCATGATGAACGAAAGGGGCATAACGAAAGAGGAAGTCATAATGAAGGCGGGGATAACCACGCCTCCCCGGCGCCCCTCCAGGGTGGATTGTTTTTATTTTTTCTCCATTTTCATTAAAACAAACAATTTCTTCAAAATTCAAATCACAAGCGAAAATTTTTTTATCAATTTGACACAAAGAAAAAAAATTCTTTTCTTTTATGTCAATTATTTTTTGCTTTTTTAAAAATGGCGGCGATTTTTGTCGCGCCAAAAAGAAAAGTCTTCCCCCTACCCTCAACCCCGACCACCCAGGACAACAAACAACCAAAATGTCTTCGGGGAGGCGACACATGTCCCAGGGGAAGAATGTCTCTCTTCCGTCCTTTAAGCGAAATTGGCCAACAAATTCCCCAGAGTCTCTGAATTCTAGGACCGAACCGCCGTCCCTATCGCCAACAAAGACGTGATTGTCTTTGTCGCTGACGACAATCGATGAAATAATCCACGGCGTAATCTGCCACAGCCACGGGTACGATCCTTGCAGATGGCATTCACTTTCTAGTTGTAAATACCCGGATGTCTGTGGCGTCCAATCGATCATTTCTTTCTTCAGTGACTCTAAGGAGTCGTGACACCATTTGGGAAAGGTCACGACCCAATGACCTTTCTCGGGTGGAGCAAACGATTGGTGGAGCCGTGCAGAAAGCTCAGCTCCCAGCAACCTCAACCCACAAACGACGTCCTCATCGTCGGTGTCGTCCATCAACAAATGTCCCAAACTGACGCGCCAGATTTTCACCTTCCCCAAAAGTTCTTCTCTCTCCTTGAGGGAGTGGCGCCATTTTCTCTCCAGTTCAGACGCCATCCCTCTCATATTTTCGCACAGCTCTCCCAACTTGATCCTTGTCTCTTCAACGAATGTCTCAAAATCCTGCCAGAGTTTGGAGCATTCCGTATCGCAATCCGTTGACAGTTCTTCAATGGAACGCCTCGTTCGCTCGTTCGTTGCCCGGATGTTGATTTCAAACTGGCGGAGTTCCCGCTCCAGCGTGGGGCCTCTCTCCTCTTTCCCCTTCGACGCCTCCTCCCTCACCGACAGCGGACGAGACGGACACTGAAGAGAGGCGGTCAAGTGATCAGTGTAACACGCGTCACACATGCACACGTTGCACCGGTCGCAAAAGACGTCCTTGGATTGGCGGTGTCGTCGACAGTCCTCCATTGTGATGACCCGGATGGCCTCAAACCTCGACACGCCCGACAAGTCTTTGGTCTCGTGTCCGCGGTGGAATTTCTTATGAAATCTCTCGCAAGTCTGGCACAAGAGTTTCTGACAGTCCTGGCACCAATTCTGGCCAGCCGATTCTATGCCGTCTTCGAAACACGTATCACAATTCATTTCGCTGGATTCCAGCTGACGGCGCCTTAAAGACTTTACCAAAAATGGTGCCAGTCTCAAATCGTCACCGGTCGCAGGTTGTTGGCACTGGGGACACAGGCCATTTCCTTCAAGAATTATCTTCACGCACGTCCCACAGAAAGAATGAAGACATGGCAACGTCTTCGATGCCAAATCTAAAACTTCGATGCATTTCGAGCATTGGAATGTCTCTTCTTCAATCATATTGGACGCCATTTGGAAAATTTGTTCCGAAAATAAAATAATATCTGGAAAGAAAGAAAAAAAAAAGCTCAAAGTTCAAAATCAGAAAAAGACGAAAAAAAAGTAAAATGACCCAAAATTCCGAGATTTTACAAGAAAAACAAATCGATTCCCGGAAAGAATATTGTTTTCTTCTAAAATCAGAAATAAGTGAAGTTGGGGTGGGAAGAAGAGTTGAGGAGGTGGGGGCGAATGAAATAGTGAGAGAGTGGGGTACGGAGAGAGTGCTTATCAATGAAAAAAGAGAGGGAGAGAAGAGTAATTCAAAGAAGGAAAGAAAGGGTAAAAGAAACAGAGAGAAAGGAGGGGGGGGCTTCCAATTTTCCGCTTTCACAGTCACATTTAACATTCTCTTTTCATCAATTGTAAAATTTGAAAATTTTAATATTTCTTCCCATGATTTTTTAAATTTCTTTGAAAAAGACGCGTACAAGATGAAGATATTTTTTTATTTATTACCACTTGTTAAGTTTACTTTATATTTTTATCTTCTTCGCTAATCTAGTATGGCACAAGGACAATAAAAGCGAGCAAATTAAGCACTACTTAAATAAAATGCTCCACACATAAAAACCGAAAAAGAAACTAATTTCAATTGAGTGAAAGAATTTTTTTCTTTTGCTAAAATAACAATTTGAACAATTAAAAAAATAATCTAATTCTATGAATAGAGAAAAAGAATTTGGTTTTCCTCTCAATATGAAGATAGATAGATAGATAGATAGATAGATAGATAGACCCAGTTTTCGGAAGTATTTTAAACGTTGTTTTTTTTATTTTTTTGTCTTTTTAACAAGCGGACCACTTTACTTAAGTAGTGCCTCGTCTTCCTTTTTAAATCGTACAACAAACCTTAAGGAATCAGATAGCAAGTCGGGGAGGGGGTGCAAAAAACTTATCGTCTTCTTTCCTTTGTTCAATAAGAAATCAAGAAGAAGAAAACAAAGAGAACGAGTCACACAAGAATTTTTGCTGTGAAAAAAGAAAATGGTGAAGAAATGATAAAAATGATTTCGAATCATGAGAGAGAAAGAAAGAGAGGGAGAAAGAGAGAGGGAGAAAGCCGAGAGATACGCACAAGACTGACCGAATCTTCGGAAGGGTTTCCAAATATTTCACAAGCAGATAAGGAAATTCGGGGGGCAAAATAACTTATCGTCTGCTTTATTCAATAACAAATCAACAAATTGAAGACAACGAGTCAGACGAACATTTTTCGATTAAAAAAGAAAAAAGTTTTCAAAATTAAATTCAATTTTTTTCGGGAAAGAAAAGAAAAAAAATGGATTTAATAATAAAGAGATTTTTTTTCTTTTTTTCAGACTTAAAAACCGCACCCTTTACGTCGTAGTGGCTTTCTTTCCTTCATTGGGTTGAAATGATTAAAAAGAAAGGAAGAGAAAAGGTTTTGTTGTGTTGATGGAAACATTTAAGAAGAAGGTTGAATGATTTGGAGAAACGATAAGAAAATTCTTACATTTGATTTTGATTTTCACTTTTGGGATGAAAAGAAGCGAGACGGAAACAAAACACGTCTTGTCTGTTGAATTTTCTGAAAGCAAACTGCAAAAGGGCGTCGGCCGTACGGATGACGTCATCGGAATACAAGGCATTTCATTGGACGAGAATAATCACGCCACATGGACACGTGACTTTCTTTACGTGTTATAGATGAGAGAAAGGAGGGGGGAATGAGAGAAGCAAGAGAGAAAACATGGAACGATGAGAGAGGGGTGAATTCTCTTCTTTTCTTTCCTTTTTTACTTCAAATAACTCACGACATTTAATCATTTGAAAAAAATACTATCAACTTTTTTATTAATTGTTGGTAAAATAAAATAAAAAAAAAACTTATTAAAAATAAAAAAAAACTTATTAAAAATAAAAACACGACTATATAATATTTTATTAGTTAATACTAAAATAATTGATTAAATTTATTTTTTGTGCAAAATAAAAAAAGATATTTTTTTTATTTCTAAAAATAAAAATCCTCATTGTAAAATGTAAAAACAAATTATTTTATATTTTGACACATTTAATTAATTATTTTAAATTATTTTATACTCCTGACTAAATTTTTTTATAAACGGATACAAATTTTGATTAGTATATTTCCGATTAATTCTTATAAGAAATTAACAATACATGTTAAAAAAGAAATTCGATTCAGGTTTACAAGATGACTTGTATTAAAGTAGTTACCTACCACCATTCAATTTTTCGATACCTAAAGTTTAAAATGAATTTTAAAAAATGAAAAAACATTCTTAAAGATTTTATTTGAGCTTTAACTGAAAGCTAAAGGATTAAATTTATTATTTCCAGTAACTAAAATATTCTGGTATATTTCAGCTAGAAATTATACAGATTGCAATGTCAAATATATGCTCAATTTCTTTTTTTAATTTCTTAAAAGCGGCCATTTTCTTAAATTTAAAAAAATTTGTAAACAAAAAAAATTTCAATTTTAAACTTCTTCCTAAAATAAATTATATATTTTTGACGTTATTTGTGTAAAATTAGAAAATTTAAAGTTAAATTAATCTGATTTGATACAAACATTACTTACTTATAGCATAAAAAATTATATCCTAACATTTTTTAACGATGTGTCTGAATTTTCTCGTGACTTTATTCACGTTATCAATGTTATTGAGAAGTTAAGAAGAGGTTGTTGCGGAGCCGATAAGGATGTTGCCCCGCAAGCTTTTAGAAGAAAGGTGTGAACAGCTAAGACAATGAGGGAACAAAAGCAGAGGTTTAAAAAAACAATAAACGTCAATTTTATTTATCCAAAATGTACAAGAGTGTACTCTGGAGAAATATGTTTGTATCGGTGTCGGGTCCGATATGACTGGTTTTGTTTAGGGGCAGTTGATCTCGGTTGTATCGGCGAAACGAATGTAGAGTTGGTCGGCGGCGGTAGCTGGTTGATTGATGGCGCAAGAAGATTCATCAGGTCGGTTAGGACGACGAGTGCTTAAACAGGATTTAAACAGCTTTAATTGAAAACTGGACGTAAATTGGTAAAAAGTCACTTTCATTAAATAGGCACTAATGATGAAATGTGTTCTGAACCTGGACGTAAATTGGTAAAAAGTCACTTTCATTAAATAGGCACTAATGATGAAATGTGTTCTGAACCTGGACGTAAATTGCTAAAAAGTCACTTACTTTACATTAGCTCTAATAATGAAATGTGTTCTGAACCTGGACGTAAATTGGTAAAAAATTCACTTTCATTAAATAGGCTCTAATGATGAAATGTGTTCTGAATCTGCACGTAAACTGGTAAAAAGTCACTTTCATTAAACAGGCTCAAATCATGAAATGTGTTCTGAACCTGGACGTAAATTGGTAAAAAGTCACTTTCATTAAATAGGCTCTAATAATGAAATGTGTTCTGAACCTGGACGTAAAAATCATTTTCATTAAATAAAAATTCATTTTCATTAAATAGGCTCTAATGATGAAATGTGTTCTGAATCTGCACGTAAATTGGTAAAAAGTCACTTTCATTAAATAGGCTCTAATGAGGAAATGTCGTATGAACCTGGACGTAAATTGGTAAAAAGTCACTTTCATTAAATAGGCTGTAATGATGAAATGCCGTATGAACCTGGACGTAAATTGGTAAAAAGTCACTTTCATTAAATAGGCTTTAATGATGAAATGTGTTCTGAACCTGGACGTAAATTGGTAAAAAGTCACTTTCATTAAATAGGCTCTAATGATGAAATGTCGTATGAACCTGGACGTAAATTGGTAAAAAGTCACTTTCATTAAATGGGCTCTAATGATGAAATGTGTTCTGAACCTGGACGTAAATTGCTAAAAAGTCACTTACTTTACATTAGCTCTAATAATGAAATGTGTTCTGAACCTGGACGTAAATTGGTAAAAAATTCACTTTCATTAAATAGGCTTTAATGATGAAATGTGTTCTGAACCTGGACGTAAATTGGTAAAAAGTCACTTTCATTAAACAGGCTCAAATCATGAAATGTGTTCTGAACCTGGACGTAAATTGGTAAAAATCACTTTCATTAAATAGGCTCTAATGATGAAATGCCGTATGAACCTGGACGTAAATTGGTAAAAAGTCACTTTCATTAAATAGGCTCTAATGATGAAATGTGTTCTGAACCTGGACGTAAATTGGTAAAAAGTCACTTTCATTAAATAGGCTCTAATGATGAAATGTGTTCTGAATCTGGACGTAAATTGGTAAAAATTCGCTTTCATTAAATGGGCTCTAATGATGAAATGTGTTCTGAACCTGGACGTAAATTGGTAAAAAGTCACTTACTTTACATTAGCTCTAATAATGAAATGTGTTCATTAAATGAACCTGGACGTAAATTGGACGTAAATTGGTAAAAAAAAAATTCACTTTCATTAAATAAAAAAGGCTCTAATGATGAAATGTGTTCTGAACCTGGACGTAAATTGGTAAAAAAAGTCACTTTCATTAAACAGGCTCAAATCATGAAATGTGTTCTGAACCTGGACGTAAATTGGTAAAAAGTAACTTTCATTAAATAGGCTCTAATGATGAAATGTCGTATGAACCTGGACGTAAATTGGTAAAAAGACACTTTCATTAAATAGGCTCTAATGATGAAATGTGTTCTGAATCTGCACGTAAATTGGTAAAATTAAATTGGTAAAAAGTTCTGAACCTCTTAATTGATAAAAAATTTTCATTAAATAGGCTCTAATGATGAAATGTGTTCTGAATCTGGACGTAAATTGGTAAAAATTCGCTTTCATTAAATGGGCTCTAATGATGAAATGTGTTCTGAACCTGGACGTAAATTTAAAAAAATTCACTTTAAAAGTTCTGAACCTGGACGTAAATTGGTAAAAAGTCACTTTCATTTAAATTACGCTCTAATAATGAAATGTGTTCTGAACCTGGACGTAAATTGGTAAAAATTCACTTTCATTAAATAGGCTCTAATGATGAAATGTGTTCTGAACCTGGACGTAAAATTGGATGAAATGTGTTCTGAACCTGGACGTAAATTGGTAAAAACTTTCATTAAATAGGCTCTAATGATGAAATGTCGTATGAACCTGGACGTAAATTGGTAAAAAGACACTTTCATTAAATAGGCTCTAATAATGAAATGTGTTCTGGACTGTAAATTGCTCTAATAAAAAGTCTGGACGTAAATTGGTAAAAGTTTTCATTCATTAAATAGGCTCTAATGATGAAATGTGTTCTGAACCTGGACGTAAATTGCTAATAAAAAGAATCTGACTTTCATTTTCATTAAATAGGCTCTAATGATGAAATGTGTTCTGAACCTGGACGTAAATTGGTAAAAAGTCACTTTTATT